TTTTGATTCGAAATTTGTGGAATGTAAGTCAACTGATATGAGGTCAGATGAAAATTTGAATTCTTTTCGTTTCTTCTGTTGAAACAAATTGTACAATCAGTCGGTGACCCAATCCATGATTCATGCATGCAGTAAGACGTACGTTTCAATACACAAACACTAACTGGATAAACCACGGGTTAAAACGGAGGCAATGCAACTAAAAGAAGCACAAAATGGTTTACCAATTGCATTCAATCTGTTGCAAATTCTCAGGATGGGATACACTTGGTAAAAGATCAAACGCTGAGCTTCGTCTTTTGGAAAAACACGGGATTATGTGGTGAGTTCGGTAATGGTTCTAAGAAGTTCAGAAAATTCATTGTCTTGCGGGCAGTGGTGGGTGGGTAGAGAGATAAACGTGTTGTGCAAGTTTATCACTAATTTTCCTGTTGTTCAGTCTTCATGCAGTCGATGAGGAATTGACGATGACAAATGGGGTTCAGATCAAACGTGAAGGAAGAAACTTCATTTTAGAGCATTCGGATCTAAATAAATTCACTTCCGCCAAATCAACTTGCACTACAATACTTGAAATTCCCCAAAAACTGAAAAGTACTTGATAAAAAATATTGGGGTTCATAAGTACACAAATAAACACACGAAGATTCCAAGAAGACGGGAAAAGCAGTCGTGTTTAACCCACGTGGCCGATGAAATAAATGAATTGGTCAATCAGCTATACTGTGGTGTTTTATTCTAAATACACAACTAGTGGGAATCTTTGTAGTCCCGTTTGTTTCATATTAAATCAGTCTCAGAAAGACTTTGAAGTTTGAATTTCCTGGTGTCAAACACGTGCCTGCCATTATGAACCGACGTTTATCAACGGGATTGAATGGGACTATTAACAAGGTTTAGGCCAAAATCAATGACTCAGAACTGTTAATTAATGGTCTCATTTCTGTCAAAGTCAAATTTTATTATGAGAATAGCTTACAAGCTGGTGCTTCTCTTGTCCCATAGGATATTTACACAGATGAATCGTTACACATCGAAAAAGCAGTCACATGGAGATTCGGGTAGGAGATAGAGAATGTAGGCTACAGTGAATTTCCGTTTGCCTTTAGTGTACGAATGTGAGGTGTGCCAAGGTTTCGTCGAGTCTTTGATTGAAAGATTCAATAGTGGGTGCACAAACGACATGAGATGGAAGGGTGTTCCAAGATCTGCATACTCTGACTGCAAAAGACTGGCGCCGGCAATCCAGTCGAGACTTTGGGATCAGTAGTTTGAAACGGTGTACCCGTAGGTGTACATTGTTTGATAACATGAGAAGCGATCAACACGGATGGTTTGGGTTCTGCAGTATTTAATGCGTCAAAATCAATTCTCGCCGGATTCGGCGGTACGAGCAGAATATAGTCCCAATGATCGCAATCTGTCCTCGTATGTCAGGTAATGAATTCCGTTGACCATTTTGGTGGCCATCCTTTGTGGACGCTCAAGCATCTTACGATCACGTTGAAGCCATGGACTCCATTCCTGGATGGCGTACTCTGTATAGGGTCGAATGTACACTGATGGCAAACGTGGAAACAGTGACGATTCAAACCGTCCAAAGACTCGCCGAAGTAAGCCGACATTCTGCATAGCAGCAGACGAAGCCTTAGCACTGTTGTTGGATCAACTTAAATCCTCTTGAACAACAATACCTAAGCCCTTTTCGCTAGAAGTATGTGGTAGCTGCTGGTCCCTGAGGAAATACGAGAATTTCCGCTTGTGGCGTAGGGATAGGACTTTGCATTTAGAAACATTAAATTCAATGTCGTTCTCCTTAGACCATTGATTAAGGCGTTGATTGATTCCTGAAGTGTTTGAGAGCCCTCTGGTTCTGTTGCCGTGTTCCAGACTCTGACGTCATCTGCAAACAGTATTATTTTTGAGACCAACACTTTTGGTAGATCATTTATGAAGGCGAGGAACAGACGGGGACCGAGTACGGATCCTTGTGGAACACCGCGCGTGGCTTTGATGAGTCGGGATACAGAATCAGAAACACGAACTGATACGGTTCGTTGATCGAGGAATGTTTTGATCCACTCAAATGCGAAATCTC